ATATATTTAGGGTTGTGATATCTTTTCTGTCAGACAAGGCCTTTTATCATTATATAATATCCCTCTTTGTCTTTTTTAACTGCTGTTGCTTTAACGTTTATTTTGACTGATACAATAATGGCTACTCATACTCATTTTTTTGTGTCCATTTGCATGGAATGTCTTTTTCCACCTCTTTACCTTAACTTTATGTAAGTCCCTATGCATTATGTTAGTCTGTTGAAGGCAGCAGATATCAAGTGGTGAATTCTTATCCATTCTCCAATTCTGTATTTTTAAGTGAAGTATTTAGGCCATTTACATTCAACATTAGTATTGAGATGTGAAGTTCCATGCCATTCATCATGCTATTCATTGCCCGTATACCTTGATTTTTTTTTTTTTCAATTGTATTTTTACTTTACAGGTCCTATGAGATTTACGCTTTAAAGAGGTTCTCTCTTCATGTGATTCCAGGATTTGTTTCAAGGTTTAGAGGTCATTTTAGCAGTTCTTGTCATGTTGGCTTGGTAGTGATGAATTCTCTCAGCATTTGTTTATCTGAAAAAGACTGTATCTTTCCTTCATTTAAAAAGCTTAGTTTCACTGGGTACAAATTCTTGGCTGATAATTGTTTTGCCTGAGGAAGCCAAATTACAGCCCAAATCCCTTCTAGTTTGTAGGGTTTTTGCTGAGAAATCGGCTGTTAATCTGATAGGTTTTTCTTTACAAGTTACCTGGTCTTTTGTCTCACAGCTCTTAAGATTTTTTCTTTCATCTTAGCTGTAGACAACCTGATGATAATGTACATAGGCAATTATCTTTTTGTGAATTTCCCAGATCTTCTTTGAGTTTCTTGTATTTGAATGTCTTGGTCTCTAGGAAGGCCTGGGAAGTTTTCCTCAATTACTCCCCCAACATATGTTTTCCAAACTTTTAGATTTCTCTTCTTCTTCAGGAATGCTAGTTATTCTTAGATTTGGTTATTTAACATAATCCCAGACTTCTTAGAGGATTTGTTCATACTTTCTTGTTCTTTTTATTTTGTCTTTGTTGGCTTGGGTTAATTCAAAAATCTTGTTTTTGAGCTCTGAAGTTCTTTATTCTACTTGTTCAATTCTATTGCTGAGATTTTCCAAAGCATTTTGCATTTCTATAAATGTTTCCTGAAGTTTTCATTGTTTTTTATTTATACTATCTATTTTATTGAAAATTTCTCCCCTCATTTCTTGTATCATTTCTTGGATTTCCTTAAATTGTGCTTTGCCTTTCTCTGGACCTCCCTGATTAGCTTAATAACTAATCTTCTGAATTCTTTTTCAGGTAAATCAGGATTTCTTCTTGTTTTGCATCCATTGCTAGTGAGATAGTGTTATTGTTGTGGGGTGTTAAAGAACCTTGTTTTGTTATATTACCATAGTTGGTTTTTTTGGTTCCTTCTCATTTGGGTAGGCTCTGTCATAGGAAAGGCCGAGGGCTGAAGGCTGTGGTTCAGATCCTTTTGTCCCATGGAGTGTTCCCTTGATGTAGTACTGTCCCCTTTTTCCTAGGGATGTGGCTTGTGAGAGCTGAGCTGTAATGATTGTTATCTCTCTTCTGGATCTAACTACCCAGCAAGATTACCAGGCTCTGGGCTGGTACTGATGGTTGTCTGAATAGTGTTGTGTGATGTGAACTGTCTGTGGGTATCTCAGTCATGGATACTAGCCAGCACAGTATTCAGGGTTCTCCCAGGTCCTGCAGGAGCAATCTACTTCCTTCAGATGGTCTATCAGTTCTCTTGGCTTTCCCGATTTATTCCTGCAGTCATTCTAGAGCAAAAGTTCACAGTGCGAGGCTCCACATGCTGCTCTTTCCATCCAAGCAGGAGCTGCAATCTAGTTCTGCCTCCCAGCCACCATTATCTCTTCAGTTACCCGAATTAAGTTCTGTGTGACTGGTGACGCCTCACAATCATGGCAGAAGGTAAAAGGCAAATGTCACATGGTGGCAGACAAGAGAAGAAAGCTCATTTTCTTTTGTGATACTCATTGTATCATAATTAGTAGGTTATGTTAGGTTCAGCTAGAAGAGTAAATTAACAGAGGCTCATATTTTTTCATATATAAGCCCAGAGCTAGGCAGTCCGTGGGCATTACAGCATCTCAGCTCCTCCATCCCTATTCTGTACTTTCCCTGCCAGGACATGCACACACACACACACACACACACACACACACACCCCTAATCAGCATTTGGGAAATCCCAGGAATCAGCATTTTAACAGGTATTGCAGGAAATCCTAAAACATGTAGTTTGTAAACCACTCTGAGAAATTCTGATGTAGGAGAATTAAGAAAAGGATAATAAAGTGACTCTCACAGAATTGATAATGAGATCAATAAAATGACTTCCAAGGTTTAAACTATGCAATCAATGAATAATTGTTAAGAGCAAAGGTATCCAAAGTTACCTTAAAGAGACCCAGACAACCCACATTTAACAAGAACCTAACTTTTGAATATTTTATCGTCATGTGAAAGTGAATGATGCAGAGTGAATCCATACCCATAGTGGATTGTTAAGGTAATATTAAGTTGAGGCTACTTATGTGAAAGGTTGTATGTGAGATGATTTTCAGTGTGGGGAGCTGGGCAAAAATGCAAAATAAATTTTGGCTTCTACGGTCTCATTTCCATTTCCCTTTGAAAGGGGAAGAAAAAACAGAAGAAAAGGAAAATCCTGGTACAATGTATCATAAAGCCAGATAAGAAATGGTTAACATTATTTTGTAACATCAATCATTTTACTTTTCTTTAACGTAAATGGAAAATCGAGTAGATTGTTCTTGTTTACCAAAGGCTTTTTGAAAATTCCTACCCACATTGGCAACAAAAGCCAAAATAGACAAATGGGACCTAATCAAACTCCACAGCTTCTGCACAGCAAAAGAAACAGTCATTAGAGTGAATCAGCAACCAACAGAATGGGAAAAAATTTTTGCAGTTTACCCATCTGACAAAAAGCTGATATCAGGAATTTACAAAGAACTAAAACAGGTTTACAAGAAAAAAAAAAAAAGCCCATTCAAAAGTGGGCAAAGGATATGAACAGACACTTTACAAAAGAAACATACATGAGGCCAACAAACATATGAAAAAACGCTCATCATGACAGGTCATTAGAGAAATGCAAATCAAAACTACATTGAGATACCATCTCACGCCAGTTAAAATGGTGATCATTAAAAAACTCTGGAGACAACAGATGCTGGACAGGATGTGGAGAAATAAGAACACTTTTACACTGTTGGTGGGAGTGTAAATTAGTTCAACCATTGTGGAAGACAGTGTGGCAATTCCTCAAGGACTTAGAAATAGAAATTCCATTTGACCCAGCAATCCCATTACTGGGTATGTATCCAAAGGATTATAAATCGTTCTACTGTAAGGACACATGCACATGAATGTTCATTGCAGCACTGTTTACAATAGCAAAGGCCTGGAACCAACCCAAATGCCCATCGATGATAGACTGAACAGGGAAAATATGGCTCATATACACCATGGAATATTATGCAGTCATCAAAAACGATGAGTTCGTGTCCTTTGTAGGGACATGGATAAACATGGAAGCCATCATTCTGAGCAAACTGACACAGAAGCAGAAAATTAAACGCTGCATGTTCTCACTCATAGGCGAGTGTTGAACAATGAGAACACATGGACACACGGAGGGGAGCACTACACACTGGGGTCTGTTGGAGAGAAATAGGGGAGGGACAGTGGGGGGTGGGGAGTTGGGGGGTTATGGCATGGGGAGAAATGCCAGATATAGGTGAGGGGGAGGAAGGCAGCAAATCACACTGCGACGTGTGTACCTATGCAACAATCTTGCATGTTCTTCACATGTACCCCAAAACCTAAAATGCAATCTAAAAAAAAAAGAAAAAGAAAATTCCTACCCACTGGTCCTGCTAGAAAATAGATGTGTCTCTCCCTAAATAACCCAAATTAAAGAAAACCCTGCAGACCTACACTATCACTCCCTGAACATTTTCCTTTATCTCTTCTTTTTACTGTATCCTATCCTCTTAAACAGCTATTTAATTTCCAAGTGAATTCTTGCACAGCTTGAAATCACTCAACCAATCTCCCAAGTCCACTGGACTCAGGGATTCTTAGCATCAGATAGTTTCAGGCCGGTGACAGGGTATTTATCAAAAGCTTGAAGTCTGCATTCTGCCAAGGAAACCTAAGACTTTGAGCAAGTCTCTTCAACTCTCAGAATGTAGTTTCTGTCATTTGAGAACTGACTTCTGCTGAAGACTTGTTTTCTAAGATCACAGTGAACTTTTAGTGCATAATCATGACGCAAACATAACCAGAATTCATGTACAGTGGTAGATTTTAAGGGAAGCAATTTAGCAAGTTGTACACAATCTTTCTAAAGCCCCACATTGTATGCACTTACGAATGTCTACCTATAATCTCTTTTTACCAATTCAGGGGTTCTGAATTATCCATTTTACTGCCCAATTTACGGGGTTACTGCACCTACATTTTAGCGCTTGAGAGAATCACGGCCCCTGCTGAGAAGAGAGCGCGAGAAACTGCGACACACATCCATGAGGCTGCTTTGCCTTCTAAGCTAACACTGCTGAAGACTCCGTAGAGCCAGGCAGAAAACACGTATTTTCTTGTCTTTTCCAATTTCAAATTCCCTCAAACCAAAGGCTGGACTCCAAATAATCTCGTTTGGAACTAAACCCCCCACCCCTTCTGAGCGTGGAGACATGACTCCGCCTCACCGCGGACCGCAGGAGGGAGAAGCAGCGCCGGGGAAACGGAGCCGGTCCCACCTCGGCAGCCCCAGGCCAGCCCCACCCGGCCGGCGCCAGCAGCCGGAGCCCGGAGACACTGCCGAACCTCCTCGGCCCCTGCCGACGCGGCCCGAGCCTGGCTGCGGCGTCACGTGACCGTGGGCGCGACCAATCCGCGCAGCCCTCTGCGCTATTCAAATCGGCGGCGGGGCCAACGGTTGTGCCCGGACACGCCGCTGCCCGGGCCGCTGAGCCTGAGGGTCGCCTTCGCAGCTATGGACGCCACCGGGCGCTGACAGACCTATGGAGAGTCGGGGTGTGCCTCCGGGGCCTTATCGGGCCACGAAGCTGGTAAGACAGCTCGGATAGAGGGGACCGGACAGCGGGCTGCTGTTGGCGTGAGACGGTTGGTAGTTTTACCCCAGGAGGGATGAGGGATGAGTTCCAGGATCCCTAGATTTAATGAACAGGCTGGGAGGGGAAGTAACGGGCATGGCCCCCTTGCCAGACTCCCCGCTCCCTCTCGCTGGGGGGGGTCTGGGCTCAGGTCCGCAGGAAAGCGCCGCACGTTGGCTGCCCCAGACTCGCTTCGAGGGGCGGCTCCTGTGCCCGACGTGGTCGGCGTAGAATATTCCGATTTCCACGCTCCCCTCGCCCGATTTTCTACGCTTCTAAGAATCAGGGAGCAATTGGGAATGAGGTCCAAAATTTTGTTGGGTTAGGGTGGGGGCAAGCCCGCATGGGATCATTTTGTTTATTGAACCCGTAGAATTGAACGCAGGATGTGCCGGCCGAGTACCAGGAGGGTGACGGCGGCTTCAGAGCAGGAGTTCTGAGTGCCCGTCGGGAGCCGCCGCTGCTGGTCCCTGAATCGGCCTGCGCGGTGCTCCTAAAGCGTTTTGTGCGGTTGGGTCTTGGTTCTGCAGGATTCTGTGGCGCTGGTTATGTGACGTTAGGGGGGGTCCCCTACCTTCTGCGAGCCCGTTTCCGCATTGGTGGAGTAAGTTACTAGCACGTGCTCTCCTTAAGGGGTTTCCTGGGAGGATGCACTTTGGGAAAGTGTGTTGTGATGTGCAGAATAACAAGCATTTTCCTCTCAGGAATGCCTTTCAGGTGGGCATGTGGTGTTAGCCCTCCTTTATCAGTGTGGACACTGAGCCTCACAGACGGTAAATGCCTTCTAAAGTCACATCGACAGCAAGTGGCAGAGCTAGAATTCACATCTTCCTAGTATGGTGATCTTACGTGGATTCTATGTAGGAACCTCAATCAGGTAGTCTTGCCACAGTATTTAAAACTCGTTAGATGAAAGTAGTACAAGCATGCTGAAAAAGAAAACATGCACTGAATGCTTACCAGTACTTTACCTGTATTACGTCATTTTATCATTCCAACAAGCACATTAGGTAGGTTCTTTTGTTCCTGTTTTATGCTTAAGGAGACTGAGAAATAGAGATTGAAGATAGACCCAAAAGATCATAAACAGTGTTAGAGCTAGACCTGGGAAACCAACCCTGCTAGTCTAACTCCAGAGCCTGCTCTTAAAACCACTGCTCTGTACTGCGTCTCAAAAAACCCATTCTGCTCCTTTAGTACAGAGACCACTTCTGTCATTTTTATTACTGTGTTCTCAGACCAGTATACAGCGCACAGCTCAATATCAGTTTCTTGGGTAAATAAATATATAAAGTGGGAAAATGTGGAAAGAAAACAATACAATCATCAAGTTTTCAGGCCTTAAATTCTGTCTTGTGGTATCGGGGCCACATAGGTTAGATAAGTGGTGACATAGCTAGTAGTGGCATAATAAACATATCACTTTTTAATACAAAAATCCTCTTAATAGAGGTTGCAAATCTAATTTTTCTATTAAAAAGTGATATGTTTATTTTATATCACCATCATCTCCATGCTCCACTGTTAGAGCTGTCACAAATGTAGAAGTTAGGCTGATTTGAGGACAGTTTAGAAAATAAATATCTTTGTAAAATGTACATGTCACAGGGTCATTAAACATGCAGTGGACTTACAGCTTATTTAATTTTTCCTATCTGTTCTATGCTCACTACAGGAATCTTCACAAAAGTGATGCTATTAGTAAACACATAAACCATTTTAATGTTAAAGATATTTCACCGCCGGGTGCGGTGGCTCACGCCTGTAATCCCAGCACTTTGGGAGGCTGAGGCAGGTGGATCACGAGGTCAAGAGATCGAGACCATCCTGGTCAACATGGTGAAACCCCGCCTCTACTAAAAATACAAAAAATTAGCTGGACATGGTGGCACATGCCTGTAATCCCAGCTACTCAGGAGGCTGAGGCAGGAGAATTGCCTGAACCCAGGAGGCGGAGGTTGCGGTGAGCCAAGATCGCGCCATTGCACTCCAGCCTGGGTAACAAGAGCGAAACTCCGTCTAAAAAAAAAAAAAAAAAAAAAAATATATTTCACCAGTAAAACTATTGCCTGCCGTAAGTTTTGCTTAGCCAGCACAGTAGTTGAGAGTACAGGTTCTAGAGTCAATCACACCTGGGTTTGAATGCCGAGGTTCATCACTTAGCTATGTGGCCTTGGTCATTTTATTAATCTCTGTGTTTTTTTCTCCTTATCTCAAAAATGAGGAATAATACCTATTCATAGAATTGTGATAATTAAAGTGAAATAATGTGAGACACAGTGCTACCAACATTAATATTAATTGAGGTAAAAAACAAGGGTCAGTGTTTTCTCTATTGACTGCAGTTTTTCCTTATTTCTAGGTTCTTTTTAAATAAGCTGATCAGCTATTGAAGTGCTTCTAATAAAAAAGCTATTACATAAAAATATTACTACAGCACTAGAATTAACAAAAAGAAAGCAGTGTAAGATATAAAATTTTGTATGGCACAAAGAAGAGGAATGATTCTTCAAGAATTGTTATGATGTAATCAGATGTGAATTAAAGAATTGTCTTTACCTAATGTACTTCAGATCAATATGAGATTCCATTTTTCTTCAATTTTTAAAAAATATTTTCCTCCTTTCTACAGTGGAATGAAGTTACCACATCTTTTCGAGCTGGAATGCCCCTAAGAAAACACAGACAACACTTTAAAAAATACGGCAATTGTTTCACAGCAGGAGAAGCAGTGGACTGGCTTTATGACCTATTAAGAAATAATAGCAATTTTGGGCCTGAAGTTACGAGGCAACAGACTATCCAACTGTTGAGGAAATTTCTTAAGAATCATGTAATTGAAGATATCAAAGGCAAGTGGGGATCAGAAAATGTTGATGATAACAACCAGCTCTTCAGGTATTGAACACATATGTAATATAAAATTGAATTACTGTAAAGTTTTACCTGTACTTACACTTTTACTATAACAGCAGCTTCTTCAAAGAAGTAATAATTTCTTTGGAAAACTATTAATGCTCTTCAATTAAAATCATTTAGAAAAATTGTAATGTTAATTACTACAAAATTTAAACTTTTTAAGTGTTAGCATATATAATAAAGTAGGGAACTGTATTTTATATGGGAATAAAGGGGAAATAGTGAGCTATTATCACTTCTGCATATTTTGAACACTTTATAACATTTTAAGGACATATTACTGACCTTTAGTTGCATAGATTCTAGATTTACAAGACAAGTTCACAGATCCTTTGCCTTCAAACATGTAATTTAATCTAAGAATACATGTAATAGGATAATGGCAAACCTTATATAACAAATAGGGCCAGGTGAGGTGGCTTATGCCTGTAATCCCAGCACTTTGGGAGGCTGACGTGGGCAGATCAACTTGAGGTCAGGAGTTTGAGACCAGCCTGGTTAACATGGCGAAACACCGTCTCTACTAAAAATACAAAAAATAAATTGGGTGTGGTGATGCACACCTGAGACTGAGGCACGAGAACTGCTTGAGCCTGGGAGGCGGAGGCTGCAGTGAGCTGAGATTACACCACTGCAGTCCAGCTTGGGTGACAGAGCAAGACTCTGTCTCAAAAAATAATAAGACAGAAGAAATATACCACAGGTTAAAGAAAATATTTATTAAACAGTTAAAATATACTAGAAACTCTAATGATTTGCCTGTGTGTTGTTACTTAATTGCTACAGTAGCCAAGCAGAGTAGGTATTTACCCCTTTTAACAGATGGAGAAACTGAGACCATGCTTCAACAAATCTTGTTCTGTCTACCTGAAATGTTTTTCCACTGTGAGGCACTGTACACATTTGTCAGGCTAGTAAACTTAAACATTTCTTTTAATCTCAATTCCTTTATAGCCTCCTCTGTGGAAATTTTCTGACTCCCAGAAGCCAGCATAATTGCTTTTTCTCTTATGACCTACAATTCTTTGTTATATAGCCGTTAAACTAGGTCTGTGGAATCGAATGTCTGTGCCTTTTTTTTCTACATAACATTAGGTTCTTTTCAAATGCACTGTCTAAGAAGTTATTGTTTCCTATGTACCAAAAATGATTTATGTCATACAAGTAAACTACAATAACAATCATATAAATAATCCATTTTATATAGCACTCTACAAATCTTGCCTCTCTTAACTACTCCTCTGTTATCTTTGTGGGCTCCTTTACTGCTGCTCGTCCTTTAGCTCGCTCATCTTCAAGTAACTGCCCTTGTCCTTACTTCACCTTCTCTGTAGGCAATCTCATGCCATGTCTTCACCTACTTTTCTTATGACTTCCAGGCCTCTCCTGAAATAATATCTCTCCTGAGCTTCCAGCTCATTTTTTTCAAGCACCTCCTGGAAAGGCACTTCAAATATACCATGTAGAAAAATGACTATCACCACGTAACCTGAATTTTGTCTTCTTAGGTTTCCTATCTGAATAACTGGCATTGCCTTCCCTATAGTTGCCTTGATTCTTTCCCTTTCTTCTCCTTTGAATATGTTTTAGTCTATTGTGTTGCCTAAGTAATTCTCTGATCTCTACCCTTCTCTCTCCAAGATACATCTTCTTTTTGTTAGGATGTAATGCTTATATGGATTTCTCTTTGTTTTGTTTTACCTGGATTTCTGCATAAATCCTCACCTAGTCTCTCTACCCTTAGTCTTTTCTGCCTCTTGGGCTCAAGTGATCCTCCCACCTTAGCCTCCCAAGTAGCAGGGACTACAGGTACACATCACCATGCCCAGCTAATTTTTGTATTTTTTATGGAGATGGAGTTTCACTATGTTGCCCAGGCTGGTCTCAAAACTCCTGAACTCAAGCGATCCACCCACCTTAGGCTTCCAAAGTGCTGAGATTACAAGCATAAGTCACTGTGCCTGGCCTCTCCTAGTCTTTTACTATGGCAAGAAAACTATAAAGTACGTAGAAATAAAGTTTACCAAAAATGTGTAAGACCTTATTGGAGAAAAGTATTAAGTTGTATTAAATAGAATAAATGGAGAAAGATATTCTGTCCATGAATCAAAATACTTAGTATCAGGTTTATGCAAGTATATTTCCTCAAAATGAAATAGAAACTCAGTGCATTTTCATTCAAAGCTTCAATGTAGTTTCTTTGTGGGACTTGATAAGCAGATTCTAAAATTCATTTGGTAAAAGCCTGAGAGAATTTTGAAGACCAAGGTCAAACTTCTGAGGTCTTCACACTTTTGAGGTCACTAAAAACTTTCTGTATAAATTTGATGTATGAGGCTAGGCAGAGTGGCTCACGCCTATAATCCCAACACTTTTGGAGGCCAAGGCAGGAGGGTTACTTGAACCCAGAAGTTTGAGATCAGTCTGGGCAACACAGGGAGATTCTTTCTCTACCAAAAAAAAAAAAAAAAATTAATTAGCTAAGCATGGTGGCATGTGCCTGTGGTCCCAGCTAGTTGGGAGGCCAAGCCCGGGAGGTCAAGACTACAGTTAGTCACGATCACACTATTGCACTCCATCCTAGGTGACAGTGAAACTTGGTGAAGAAAAAAAATATTGACGTGTGGTAAAAGATACGATAAAGTGAAAAAACGCAAAACACATATTGTTTATATATATTTACTAGAAGTATAAAAACATGGAAAAGAAATACAACTATAGGCTTATAGTTATGGAGATAAGTTTTTAGTTTACTCACCCTTAGGAAGAGGGGGATATGAATGAGCAAAGAATTTCATTTTTTAAAAAAAGGAGTTATTACACTCCCACCAACATTGATAGCATTCCATTTTCTTTACAAACTTACCAGCACCTGTTATTTTAAAATTTTTTAATAGTAGCCATTCTGACTGGTGTGAGATGGTATCTCATTATGGTTTTAATTTATATTTCTCCAACAATGAGTGATATTGAGCTTCTCATATGCTTTTTGGCCACGTGTATATCTTCTTTTGAAAAGTGTCAGTTCATATCCTTTGCCCTCTTTTTAACGGAGTTCTTTGTAAATTTGTTTAAGTTTCTTGTAAATGCTGGATACTAGACCTTTGTCAGATTCACAGTTTGCAAAAATTTTCTCTCATTTCATAGGTTGTCTGTTGACTCCATTGATAGTTTCTTTTGCTTTGTAGCTCTTTAGTTAATTAGATCCCATTTGTCCATTTTTGCTTTTGTTGCAATTGCTTTCAGCATCTTCATCATGAAATCTTTGCCCATTCCAATGTCCAGAATGATATTGCCTAGGTTGTCTTCCAGGTTTTTTATAGTTTTGGGGTTTACACTTAAATCTTTAATCCATCTTGAGTTAATTTTTGTATGTGGTGTAAGAAAGGGGTCCCATTTCAGTCTTTTCCATGTGACTAACCAGTTATGCCAGCACCATTTATTAACTAAGAAATCATTTTCTCATTGCTTGTTTTGTCAGCTTTGCTGAAGATCAGATGACTGTACATGTGTGGCCTTATTTCCGAGCTCTCTATTCTGTTTTATAGGTCTATGTGTTGGTTTTTATACCAGTACCCTTTCATTTTGGTTATGGTAGCTCTGTAGTATATTTTAAAGTCTGGTAGCATGATGCTTCCAGCTTTGTTCTTTTTGCTTATGATAGCCTTGGCTATTTGGGCTCTTTTTTGGTTCCATATGAATTGTGGACAACTGTATGGTGATTCCTTAAAATCCTAAATCCAGAATGACCATTCAACCTAACAATCCCATTACTAGGTGTATACTAAAAGCAATATCAGTCGTCTGTCATGAAGACACATGCACACATATCTTATGTTTACTGCAGTGCCATTCACAATAGCAAACACATGGAATCAACCTGAGTGTCCATCGGTGGTAAACTGGATAAAGAAAATGTGTACATATACACCATGGAATACTATACAGCCATAAAAAAGAATGAGATCATGTCCTTTGCAGGAACATGGATGAAGCTGCAGGCCATTATTCTTAGCAAAGTAACGAACAGAAAACTAAATACTGCATGCTCTCACAAGTGGGAGCTAAATGATGAGAACACATGGACACAGAGAGGAACAACAGACACTGAGGCCTATTGGACAGTGGAGGATAGGAGGAGGGAGAGGATCAGGAAAAACAACTAATGGGTACTAGACTTAATACCTGGGTGACGAAATAATCTGTACAACGAACCCCTATGACACAAGTTTACCTATGTAAGAAACCTGCACATTTACCCCTGGACTTAAAATAAAAGTTAAAATAATTAAAACAAAAAAAGAAGTCTGGCAAAAATGTCAACAATTGAATTGGTTGACAGTTATATACATGGGTATTGTATTATCTTTGAAATATTTACATGGGTATTGTTTTATTATATTTTTGAAATAGTTTATATTAAAATAAAAGGAGGGTGAAACATTACAATCAAAAGAAGCAACAGAAACTAGTTCCAGAAATTAGGACAAACACAAATAAAAGGGGGAATATACAAACTAGATAACTCATCAAATAAATTTAGAAAATGTAATATTCTAGAGCCGTTTTGTATGTAACCAATACCCCTCAAACAGAATTGACCCTAATCATAACCTTGAATTATCAAGAAATGAAGTTAAAATACACACAACTAAAGAAAACAGGAACCTATTAAATTTTTTTAAAGGTTTAATGGGAAAATTCATTTGTCTAGAATCTTTATTCCTTGGTAGTATTAATAAATCAGGCTCTTTGTGTGAATTTTAAAATAAATAGGCTCTAAAAGTTTGTTTCTAATCTCACATAATTTACTTTCTTATTGTTTTTAAACCAGATTTCCTGCAACTTCACCACTTAAAACTCTACCACGAAGGCATCCAGAATTGAGAAAAAATAACATAGAAAACTTTTCCAAAGATAAAGATAGTATTTTTAAATTACGAAACTTATCTCGTAGAACTCCTAAAAAGCATGGATTACATTTATCTCAGGTAACACGTCCTTTTACTAATTACTACTTTAAATATAATTACCACATACTCAATAATAGAATCATTAAAAGTAAATGATTCTTTAATATTTAAAGCCAGTACTGAAACCTCCTAACCTACATTACTTTCTAAAAATATGTATATATATATATAATTGTTTGGAACCCATAGAAAGAATAATAAAAATGGTAGTGAGGCATAATTGAAAACAATAGTTATATAATTTAAGCGTGTTTTGGTTTAAATTGGTTTGAGGGAGGTAGAGACAACTGAAAATTAAAAACTCTTATCACCATGTTACATTATTTCTTCAGGAGGCACTTTATAGCTCCACAATGGACGTATAGTAATAGAATTATTGTTGTTTTCGATATTTAAAAAATTTGAGAGATTAAACCAAAACCATCCATTTTTCAGGAAAATGCTGAGAAAACAAAGCATGAAATGATCAAGGAAGATCAAGAAAATGCAGTTGATAATAGAGAACTAAGCCAGGAAGATGTTGAAGAAGTTTGGAGATACGTTACTCTGATTTAGTAAGATAAAATTAAGCTTTAATGAAGTTCCTGAAGTGTTTTGATTATTAATTCGACATTTTCATCAAAATATGCAAGTGAATCAGAACAGATTAATTTTCAAAGCTTAGAATGCAACCTGTATATGTGTTTTTAAATAAATACTCTTGTTATAGCTCTAACAAAGTAGAAATTGAATGTTTTGGTATGATTTCCTTTTTCTTTGAATCAACATTGTGGCCATAGTTTGGGATATATATTAGAATCCTTTTAAGATCATTGAAATAAATGTATTTGAAAGAGGATACTAAATATAAGTCTTAGAAATTTGGTTAAGAGAAAAATAAAATATTCTGATGGCTTTGTTTACCAGTCATATTCATTTATATGTATAATCTGTCCCATTTATTTTATGAAGAAAAAAAGTTAATATTCTTTCTTCTGTTTAGCCTGCAAACAATTTTAGGTGTGCCATCCCTAGAAGAAGTCATAAATCCAAAACAAGTAATTCCCCAATATATAATGTACAATATGGCCAATACAAGTAAACATGGAGTAGTTATACTACAAAACAAATCAGGTTGGTATTAATAAAAGAATTGGAACTTTTTAAAACTAGCCAACAAGGTTGCAACTATAGGAGGGTGAAGAAAGACCCAAATGTTGAAAGTAGAGTACTTTATGGAGGATCAGAGGGGCTATCATAAGTGCTTTAGTAATAACAGTGGAATACTTTTTAAATAAGTATTATTCATACTATTATAAGAAATATTTTATCTGCTAAGATAGATTCATGCATGATATTTAAAACAATGACAAGGTTAAACATCCAAAAGGTATACAAGTATAACAAAAGTTTTGATTAAGCCGATTTTTGTTGAGGACCTCCAACACGTCAGACATTGTGCCAAAGATTAATGATAAGTAAGATAGAAATGGTCCATACTCTCATGAGGCTTTCATGAATAGTGATGTACAAATTAACAGGAGTCAAACATATATACAAAACTGTAATAACGCAACAAAATAAGCTCAGACTTTCAAGATGAGGATTCTAAAGGGCACTGGCTTTTTTGTTTTATATATTTATATAGTTAATTCAGATTTAGATACAAAAATCAGGGAAACAATTCAAGCTAGATAGATGTATTAGAAAACTTAGATTATAAGAAATGTATTAATCTCTCAAAATTATAACTAATGTTTTTATGGTAAGTTTCTGGCTATAGAATTAACTGACATATATTACTTTGGGTTTCTTTTTATGGGCAAGAACTTTGAATTTTTAATTGTAGGAGCAAAATGTAAATGTTAAAACTGATGAGCTTGCTATGTGGCATATGCATGTAGCTATAGACCAGTCCCTTCTTCTATTATCTAAAATAACATGGTTAAGCAGTATATGCCCTCATTTAAGATTTCTATTCTTTCTAACCCTGTGTAAAAAAATGCTAAATTTCTATGGAACATATTTTATTTAGCGGCAGTTTAAAGATTTTAAGCAAACTTCACTATAAAGGCAGAAAAATAATCAGATATAGTTCATTTCAATCATAGGTCTCACCCAAATCAGTAATATTCAAATAGTGTAGTCATAGGCAGAATAGAAACAGGGATGAAGAAAGATGATGGTAGTAGATGAAAAAGAATGTTGAGTTTATATCTAAACGCTCCCTCAAAATAATTAATCTTCGATTTGGCAGTATTTGTTATGTGTAATATGGATCAAACTCAGAATCTCTATCATTTTTTCGGACTTTTTCTATTTTAAAATATTGACTTGATCCTGTGTCTTATTAAATATATGATACTTTTTAATCCTAGTAACATTCACATACAAATGTAACATGTATGTGTGTGTGTGTGGGTGTGAGTGTATATATATGTATATATATATACACACGTAAGTGTGATATTTTGAAATATATCATCATAAAAATTGGTTTGGATACAGTGGCTAACACCTGTGTCCTAGCATTTTGGGAGGCCAAGGTGGGTGGATCACAAGGTCAGGAGTTCAAGACCAGTGAGGCCAAGATGGTGAAACCTCGTCTCTACTAAAAATATAAAATTAGCCAGTTGTGATGGTGGGCACCTGTAATCCCAGCTACTTGGGCGGCTAAGGCAGAGAATTGCTTGAACCCAGGAGGCAGAGGTTACAGTGAACCGAGAGCTCGCCACAGCACCGCAGCCTGGGTGACTGAACAAGATTCCATCTCAAAAAATAAAATAACATAAAATAAAAATTGTATAGTTTACTAAATAATATTTTTCTTTTTGTGTAGATGACCTCCCTCACTGGGTATTATCTGCCATGAAGTGCCTAGCAAATTGTAAGTTGTGTGTGTGTGTGTGTGTGTGTGTGTGTGTGTGTGTGTGTTTGTGTGTGTGTGTGTGTGTGTGTGTGTGTGTTTTATGTTGATGGTATTTAACAAGAACTAAGGAAATTTTTAAAACAATTTATTAAAGTCCTGATAAAGTATATAATTTCTCTTGACATATAAATGAAACTCTAGTGGAATTGATTACATTATAGAGCCCTTAACTTTTTCTGTTTAGAATGAAGGTGATTTTTTAATTCAAGCATATTATTTATGGTTTAATTCACGTAAATTATAAAGTCATAGGCTAGAGGTTCTAAAAGGATTTTTAGGTGAAATCCACACTAATCAACTCAGTGAGGCTCAAATGGCTTAAAGTCCATGTGATTTCTATTGTGTAGAAGCATTGAATACTATAGATATATTAATATGACTATGTTATGAAAAAAAGATTATCTGTAATTGTAGTTGTTTTCGCATTGCTATAAAGAAGTACTTGAGACTGGGTAATTTATAAAGAAAAAGGTTTAATTGGCTTATGGTTCCACAGGTTGTACAGGAAACATGGCTGGGGAGGCCTCAGGAAACTTACAGTCAAGGCAGAAAGTGAAGGGGAAGCAGGCACATCTTACATGGCCAAAGCAGGAAGAAGGTTGTGGGTGGAGGTAGTACACACTTTTAAAGGATCAGATCTTGTGATAAGTTACTCAGTATCACAAGAACAGCACCAAAGGGGAAATATACCCCCATTATCCAATCACCTCCCACCAGGCCCCACCTCCAACACTGGGGATTACCAATTTGACATGAGATTTGGGTGAGGACATACCCAAACCATATCAGTCACTGATCCAGAAATTTTTTTAGCATTTCAGTGATCAAGCTTTTTCATAGTGATCAGTGATAATTGATTTTCGTAACACAAAACCCTAATTTGATACAAAATCCTACTTGCGTTCAAAGTTAATTTTTTAAATGTACAAAGGTATAAGCTTCTAAATCATCTAAAGTTAAATTATATTTTAATAGCTTTAATTACAAATACAGTTTTTTAGTCTATACAAAGTTAGCATTTTCTAAAACGCTAATAGGGTTTTACTAATGTTCAGGGTAACTTTATATTCCTTTGTTGTCCACTGGGTGTCAATATGACAAAATGATATTGAATAAATAACAATAAAGTAAATACATTTACAGAAACATTTTGTTTGCCAAATTAAGATAGAAATCTTTATTAGGAACTTAAGGCTTAAATTTGTGTTTCTACTTTCCAAGCGTAGTTATCTATTTTTGTTTCCTTCCTTTGCTCATGGTTAGAAAATCAGACAGGCATACTGACAGGGATTCCTCTGACATCCTGTCTTTAGGGATTGTTTCTTCCTTCTCTTTCCAATTTATGTAATACCTAAATGATACCAATTATATAACTTACTGGATTCCAAATTAGCAACAATGTATTTAGCCAGAGGCAGAGTTAAGACTAGCTTTACTTCTTATTCCATCCCCCAGAGTAATTCTGTGAGATGTAGGAATTAGTGATCAGTATACCATCCCAATTTTTCCAACAGAGGAAACCAAAGCCTAGAGAATCTTCTTTTAATGCAGAGGAGCTAGAGCTCAAACCTAGATTCTGTATAAATTCTATATTTTTAATATTTTTAATTCCTGTAAACATGTATTTTCTTAGAGAACGTTCTAATGATTATCAAATCTTTTATTCCACATATTAATGTATTTCTTGTGTCCTTAGAAAAATATCTATTTACTGTTAGATGTGTGTGTGTGTGTGTGTGTGTGAACTGTTTTCTTTAATTATTTTTTCAGTGTGTGCTCACATACAAAGGTTGGAAACAGAGAAGTAAGAAATATTATTTGGATTTTGATAAAGAGACATTTTAACTTGAGAGATAGTATAATGGCTCTAAAACCTAGATGCATTTAACAGTCACTAAAGAGACTATCCAGAGATTCTGAAGTGATTAATTTAGTAGGTCAGGTATCTTTTTTAAAAAAAAATCCCTCCAGAAGATTATTATAGGGTGAAGGTTCTCAGGTTAGTGTTTAGAAACCACTCAATTGGTGAACTAGAAGCAAACATTTCTAAATCAGTAAATTTCTGGCCCCACCTTCATGGATTATCGTCTATGTAGAGGAATTTGTATTTTTAATCAGCACATTGGATGATTCTGTGATATAATCCGTGAACCACACTTTAAATGTTGTTGGAGCTAAAAGTCCTGGGCCTTGCTCTTATTTTAAACTGCTCTAACTTCTAATTCAAACTTTGCTACCAAAGTCTTTCTCATCTTGGGCAAGGTACTCTTAGCCTCAGTTTTCTTATCTATAAAATCAGATCTTATTTTTGAGGAAAACACAAATCAGTAGATATGATTGTTTCAATAGTTGGGTCAAGCTTAAGAAACAACAATGTGAAGATATTATTTAAATTCATTAAGGCTATGCTTCATGTCAGAGAAAATGTATTCATGAAAATGTAAATTTACAAAAAGACAATTTGAAGGAATTATTTGTATTATCCAAATATTATTTCCTTTACAAAATGAATTGCAATAAAATCTCCTTAAAATAAACTTCTTTAATACTTTTAAATATGATATTAAAATTTTACTTTATGAACAATTTTTCAGGTATACAAATGTTAAAATGAAACAAAATACTATCAATTGGCTGCTTTTAGTAGAAAGATAATGAGGAATAATGAGACATGCCCTTTAAATTTTTGAGCTGTGACAGAATTGTTGTTAAACATAGCTCCTTCATGAAATACAGATTTTATACTTTTTATATTTAAAAATTGTATTTAAATTAAAATATACTTTGCCTTTTTCTTTTGCCTTCTGATTCTTAGGGCCAAGAAGTAATGATATGAATAATCCAACTTATATTGGATTTGAACGAGATGTATTCAGAACAATCGCAGATTATTTTCTAGATCTTCCTGAACCTCTACTTACTTTTGAATATTACGAATTATTTGTGAACATTTTGGGTATGTGTGGATTTCACTTATTTTTGTTCATTTTGTTAAAGTTTTCAATTTTCTTGTAATTTAGAAGATCTAAAAGCATAGATAAATATGAAGTTGGCAACCTACAAATTATTTTATAATTCAATGAAATAAGATCCCCAGGTTACTCATACTTTCGCCCAGCCAACTACCAGTTTGGAACTTTCCCCAACCCCCTGCCAGATTCAATAATTCATTACAATGACTCACAGAACTCAGAAAAGCACCTTACCTATGACCGTTAGTTTTTTATGAAAGCTAGATCTCAAGAATAGCCAAATGGAAGAGTCACACAGGGCAAGGTAGGAGAGTGAGGTGTGGCACAGAGTTTCTGTACCCTTTCTAGTCATGTCATGATCCCAGTACATCCATGTGTTTACCAACCCAGAAGCTCCCTCAGCCTGCGTGTTTTAATTGGAGTTTAATTACCAAGACATGACTGATCAAATCGTTGGCCACTGTTGTCGATTGAACTCAGTCTCTGGCCCCTTTCTCCTTCCATAAGGTTGTAGTTGGTGATGAAAATTCCAACCATGGCCAGCCCCGAGTTACCTTAGCATAAACTCAGATATGCTGAAACAGGCTTGTTATAGTAACAAATGGCCCATCATTCAGGAAATTCCAAGGGTTTTAGGAGCTCCATACCAGGTACCAAGGACAAAGATCAAATATATGTATTTTATTATACCACAATTGCCTTATAATTATTAGGTTTCTAGTACTTGCAGACTAAGAACAGATTTTTTTTAGTGTATTCTGGCTCAATCCATTTAATTAAGCTATTGAAATAATTTTTGAGGTTATATTACAAATGGGAAAACCACTCATCTGTCTTGCACGTTTGTAACCGAATGTTGCATGTGTCCTATTTAAGTGGCTTCTGAATTAAGCAACTACTATGTATACTATACTAACAGTATATACTATAATAATGCTTTATTTTTTAACTTTACTATTGTTTTTGTTTTATTTTTGTCCACTGTCATACAGTTGCATCTTAATTTTTGTTTCATTTCCTGGTAGTTGTTTGTGGCTACGTCACAGTTTCAGATAGACCCAGTGGGATACATAAAATCCAAGATGATCCACAGTCTTCAAAATTCCTTCACTTAAACAATTTGAATTCCTTCAAGTCAACTGAGTGCCTTCTTCTCAGTCTGCTTCATAGAGAAAAAAACAAAGAAGAATCAGATGCTACTGAGAGACTGCAGATAAGCAATCCAGGATTTCAAGAAAGATGTGCTAAGAAAACGCAGCTAGTTAATTTAAGAAACAGAAGAGTGAGTGCTAATGACATAATGGGAGGAAGTTGTTATAATTTAATAGGGTTAAGTAGTATGCATGCTCTATCCTGTAACAGCAAACCAAGGTGCTGTTCTTTGGAAGGAATTGTAGATGTGTCAGGGAATTCAAGTAAAGAGGCATCCAGTGTCTTTCATCAATCTTTTCTGAACATAGAAGGACAAAATAATAAACAGTTTTTAGCATCTAAACCCAAGCAGGAATTCTTGTTGAATCTTCATTCAGAGGAAAATATTCAAAAACCATTCAGTGTTGGTTTTAAGAGAACCTCTACTTTGACTGTTCAAGACCAAGAGGAGGTGTATAATGGGGAATGCAAGTCAAAACAGCTTTGTAGGTCTCAGAGTTTGCTTTTAAGAAGTAGTACAAGAAGGAATAGTTATATCAATACACCAGTGGCTGAAATTATCATGAAACCAAATGTTGGACAAGGCAGCACAAGTATGCAAACCGCTATGGAAAGTGAACTCGGAGAGTCTAGTGCCACAATCAATAAAAGACTCTGCAAAAGTACAATAGAACTTTCAGAAAATTCTTTACTTCCAGCTTCTTCTATGTTGACTGGCACACAAAGTAAGGCTGTTGCTTTCAATGCATGCAGTATTAACTTTTAGTGTTTACTAACTCTGTGTTTTGCTTACCTGGCTTTTTCTTCTTGCTTAATTTTTTTCCTCCAAGAGGAATTATTATAAAAGAGTTTTGTCTATGGCACAACCTAGATTTATTGTTTGCCTAAAGCACTTAATTTCTTTTTTGTAATTTTATTTATTCTGAGTCACTTAATTTGTAAGAAATGAAGAATTTTAATTCTTAGAAATAAGTTGTAAAGAAAGTAATGAGAATCTTACCATGCTTTTGAGGAATATAATTTCTGGAAAGTTAAAATAAATGAAATACTAAGATATTATTTTACCTACGTTATATAACTGTATATACTGGTAGTATGAAAGCAACTAGTGTCATTGATTATTTTGGGGGGGGGTGTAATTTTGCGTTCTAGGTTTGCTGCAACCTCATTTAGAGAGGGTTGCCATCGATGCTCTACAGTTATGTTGTTTGTTACTTCCCCCACCAAATCGTAGAAAGCTTCAACTTTTAATGCGTATGATTTCCCGAATCAGTCAAAATATTGATATGCCCAAACTTCATGATGCAATGGGCACAAGATCACTGGTAAGTTGATTTCTTATGGAAAGAATAAGTCTGGTTCATAAACCAAAATAAGAAAACCAAACTATGTAAAAGTACTACTCAAGTGATGTCTTAAAGTGCTAGATTCTTAGGTTGGAAAGGTTCTTTAACCTCTTCTTGCAGCAGAATTTTGGTATATTAATCTTTTGTGCAGAGTTTGTTATACTTTCACATGCTGGTGTTAATCTTGACTGGCGACTTTGCCTGCTCATTCATCCTGTATCATTCTGTAGCAATTGATCAGTCAGACCACTTTATGTTGTCTTATGCCAATTCTGTTTGGTTGATAAGGAAGAGGAAATGTAGGCAATGTTGAAAGCTTAAGGAGACTATAACCATAGAAGCAGAGAACTAATGGAACTTAATACATTAGTCAGTGTTTCAGAGAATATAGTAGTGGGAAAGTAGGTCATTGTGGACAAGGAGTGGGAAGCACTATTGCCAAACAGCCTCAGGCTCCTTGTGAGAATGAGGACAAGGGCGTTTATATGCAGATAATTGATTGGAAATAAACTCTTAAAATAGTATCTTTAATCTCTGTCTATCTCTTTTTTTTTTTTAAGTCACCACTTTCTCAAAATGCAACTTCAATTTACAAGAGCTTCTTATAGCGAGGAATCTGGAATTATGCTTTCTTTCATTCATTATTAAAGATAGTTCTTTAATAGTGACAAACCTAATATAAACGAGAAGAATTATTCTTGAGTAACTATAGCACTATTAAAAAGCATAGAAAGTTTATAGAGAAAGATGTTCACAGAGACATGACTGGGAAGGTGATAATTTTGGTTTTGCACTTTTTGGATTTGAAGTCATAGGACCTCCAAGTGAAATTTATCCAACAGAATGTTGGAAATATCAGCTGGGTGAAGAAAGATCAGGGGAGAAGGCAAATTGTTTTGATTATTTCTTAGGGAAAATACTTGAAGCTATGAGAGTGGATGAGCTCTACAAGGTTAAGAATGTGGAGAGAGAGCAAAAAAGGCTGAGTTCTGAGCTGTGAAAGGAGACAGGAAACCCTGACCGATGTGTAGAAATAAAACTAAAAATATATCAAGTCCATAAATATGCTGATCATATACTACGTGTGAAATATTTAAAACAGAATTCTGATTTTAGGATGAGGTGTGTGTATGTGTTACTGTTAGAGGATTGCATAGGTATATGTGAGAGTAATGAGTTTTGAAACAAATTTTATCACAGAATTTGAAGATCCCTTAAGATGGAATGGAAAAATGTGTATTTTAAATTGCTGTCTAAAGACTGACAGAATAAGCATTTTTAAAAACTATTTTCCAGACTTTTAAAAGATAAATGTATCAACTTTGCAACCACTTATGAATATAAGTGTTCATATGTTACACACTCTCCTGGTATATGTTTTTTGTGGGATTTATTTAATGTAATTAGTTATTGTTGTCTGACAATCTTTAAACTTAAGCAACATTTATATGTGGTATTAATAGAACCTATGGTGTTTACTGATAAAATTACAGAAAAAACCAAAGCCTTTTATAATTCTTGGGAATTACATTAAGGATATACCTTTTTTTTTTTTCTGGTTTCACAGGATCACACTCTGTTACCCAGGCTGGAGTACAGTGGTGTGATCACAGCTCACTGCATTCTAGAATTCCTGAGCTCAAGAGATCTTTCTGCTTCAATCTCCCGAGTAGCTGGAACTGTAGGCATGCACTATCATGCCTGGCTAGTTTTTTATTTCTTTGTAGATACGGGGTGTCACTATGTTGCCTAGGCTGGCTTCGAACTCCTTGCCTCAGGTGATCCTCCCACCTTAGCCTCCCAAAGTGCTAAGATACAGGCATGAGCCACCATGCTCAGCTATGGAACAATTTTAAAAAGGATTTAAATATAATCAAATTCTTATGTTTCTAACTGTAAAAATTATTGTCCTCATTTTTAAACTGAGGCTGCTTATCACTTTATCCCAATACTTAATGCAATGCTACCTGGAAATTACTGATATTCTAATTTGTATACAACCTTAGCTTTTTAAATTCACATCTTTTAATATGTTTCTAGATGATACATACCTTTTCTCGGTGTGTTCTATGCTGTGCTGAAGAAGTGGATCTTGATGAGCTTCTTGCTGCAAGATTAGTTTCTTTCTTAATGGATCATCATCAGGAAGTTCTTCAAGTACCCTCTTACTTACAGACTGCAGTGGAAAAACATCTTGACTACTTAAAAAAGGGACATGTAAGTATTGTAAGTCTTAAAATTCTCTGCAATAGTCAGTTGCAAGTGGCAAACTCATCTCAAAGTAGCTTAATGAAAAAGGAAGACTTTATCAGCTCCCATAAATAATCTCTAAAAGTCAGGAATATAGACAGTATCTTTCTGTCTCCTCCATCTCTTACTTATTTCTGTTTTGATCCTGTATTTGACAATGGCCCCTTCACATGATGAGGAATATGGCTAGTTGAAGTTCATGAGTTTACAGCTTTACCTTCGCAATTCAGAGGAAAAACAGCCATTCCTCCATCTCCAATTTTAAAAGCTCTGGATATAGACTCTTAGCCTAGTTGAGATTAAATACGCATTCTTTAGGTTGTCAAGAGTAGGATAGAGATAGAGCCTTACTCTGACTCTGCAAAGATTAAAGGAGAATTTGTTCTTCACAGAAGATAAAGGTAGAGGAGGGGATAAGATGGAAGGGAACTATTAAAAGAAAGAGAGAAGGAATATTGAGCAGCCGAAACAACAGACATCTACTGTATTCTGTCTTTGACTGCCCAACATCTGTTTATGTTTTTCCCATGTGTACCATTCTAATATTGTCCTGGCTTATAACTATCTCCTAGAATTTCTTTCTTTTATTAGCAGATGTTAGAGGCTCTGCCTATGTTCCCAAGCCTCAAAAAACAATAAATGAAAACTAAAAATATTTCATTTCAGTAAATATGCTGATCATCTACTACCTGCACTGTCAGCACATTAAAGTCACACAATGAATTAGAATAACACTTAGATTGTTAATTTATAGTTAAAAGAATAAAATCCATAGTTAATAATAATTATAATACCTGTCTTTATTTAATGCTTATTATGTGCTAAGCCCTTTATATACATTTTCTTATGTAATTTCCATGTTAATAATGAAGAAACAGACTAAGAAAAGTTAAATAAATTGTTGAATGCTACAAACCAAGTAGATTATGGAACTGGGATTTAGAACCTACTGACTTCCACTCCACTACTGCATAATACATAGTTTTCTTAATGTGCTGAATGTTTGATTGGTGGTAAATTATTAGGTGCTAGATCCCATCAAAAGAAAACTCTTTTTCATATAAGAACATGACCAGGATTAACAGAGTTGTATCATTTTGTTCACTACAGATTGACAATCCTGGAGATGGACTATTTGCTCCTTTGCCAACTTATTCATACTGTAAGCAGATTAGTGCTCAGGAGTTTGATGAGCAAAAAGTTTCTACCTCTCAAGCTGCAATTGCAGAACTTTTAGAAAATATTATTAAAAACAAGAGTTTGCCTCTAAAGGAGAAAAGAAAAAAACTAAAACAGGTAAAAGAATAGCAAGTTCTCAATCATGTAAATATTTTCTAATGTGCTGTTCCTGGTTGTTAATAACATTTAGAATCTATTTTGTATTTTAATATTTTAGATTTTAAGTTTGAGGTATATAGACTATATATTATGATGTCTTGTATATGTGCATTAACCTAAAACATGTGAGTACGTACCTACCTGATTTTGTTCTTCATCCTGAATTTTAAAATAATACCAACAATAATAATGTATACTTTCTTTTATTACTAGTATTTTATATAATTATAGCTTGTATTAGCCTGGGAAAGCAATTATAAAGTATAAATATGTATCACAGAGTGACTCATCACCGTTTTAGAATTTTTAGCTCTAAAAGTCCAGTAGCCACATGATTCTGCCACTTCCAATTCTAAGTCTGAGACACTCAAAGAAATGTGAATACTAGATGCCTGTGTCTTTCATAGGTTTTACCATTGACAAAGAAGATCTGGAATTTGGGGGTAGAATTAACATCAGAAGAAAAAGAATCATAGAATGTTAAGGAGATCTAAAAGATCTTATAGTGTACCTTTCATATGAGAAGAGAGAGGGACAGGCAAGGATAAAAATGAAAGGTTACTAATTTCTATAATACTTCTTTGAGAAAGACACTGAATTCTTATAAAATGTTGAGTACTGCTTCAGCTGGGGAAATAATGTTAAATACCTTCTAATTTTTCACCTCACTTTTAAGTTTCAGAAGGAATATCCCTTGATATATCAGCAAAAATTTCCAACCACAGAGAGTGAAGCAGCCCTTTTTGGGGACAAACCTACAATCAAGCAACCAATGCTGATTTTAAGAAAACCAAAGTTTCGTAGTCTAAGATACTAACTGAATTAAAAATTATGTAATAAATGAAGCCATATCTGAAAATGTAGCTACTCAAAAGGAAGTCTGTTATTAATAAGGTATTTCTAAACAAACACATTGTGTAAGGAAGTGCCAAAATAGTTGTTTTTTAATGTGAGACTACTAGGAAACTAACTAGATCTCAACTGAAAGCACATAACAATAGGTGGTACCAAATCCTTTTTGTTTTTAACACAGCTATTCGAAAGGCGATCATGATGTGTGCTAAAATTTTATTTGAATTTTGAAAACTGAGCTGTGTTCATCAAGATTAACCTATAATTCTGTTTTTAAAAGAAAACATCTTCATATGTGCAAGTTCTGAAATACTAGCTAATGAATTAGTTGTTTGGGGTTACTTCTTTGTTTCTAAGTATAAGAATGTGAAGAATATTTGAAAACTCAGTGAAATAATCCTCAGCTACCAAATGTTGCACTCTTTTGTATGTTCTTTTTCCACTTTTGATCTATTTATGTATATGTATGTATTCTTAAAATATGTGTATATTTTGTCAGATTTGGTTTTGCCTTAAATAGTATCCCCAACTGCTTCAGTTATTCATTTGTTCAATATATATATTTTGAATTCTTATTTTCATAATCTATTAGAAGATGGGGATATAAAAGAAGTATAAGGCAATCATATATTCATTCAAAAGATATTTAGTAACTTCTGTGTGCCTTTCATTGTTCTAGATATGCAGAGACAATGATAAATAAAACATAAAAATCTCTTCCCTAAGGTATTTATTTTCTAATCAAGGGAGATACACCCATCAGATGCTTAAAATAACAATACTACCCACTGAAATCAGAGCATATAGAATCATTCAGCTAAAGACTGACTTCGATGATTATGAAATAGGTCTCTAAGCTAGTGGTTTTCAAACTGGTGCACATTAGACTCACCTGAGGAGTTTTAAAACCACCTGTATGCCCAGGGCCTACCTTATAGCAATTAAATCTGAATTTTAGGGGTGTTATATAGGGATTAGTATTTTTTTTAATCTAGATGATTCCAATGTTCAGCCAACTCTGAGAATCAATGTCTTAAATGCTTGTTATAAACATTTATATAAGTGCCAAGATAGTAGCACATTGATTTTATTTTTTCATTGGAAGAAAATGTCTGTCTGACAATTACAAATGCCTCTCATCTTAAAAACAAGGTTCTTCAGGTTTCTGCGTGATTGACTTGGTGCAAACTTGAAGCAAATTGCCTTCTATTTTTTACTCCAAGATTGTTTAATACCTATTCCTTAAGTGTAAAGAAATATATAGTGCCTGGGTTGTAATAAAATCTTAATGTTTAATGACTATTCTCACTTCTCAATGTAATTTTGTACTATTTCTCTATAAAATGATAGTGTTCCATTTAACTTTACTGATTTTTATTAAAAATCCTGGACAGAAAATTATAAATGTGTCTTTATCCTGGTACTCTGGCTATAAAATTATTGAACCAAATTGAATTCTTTCTAAGGCATTTGTATCCTAAAACTTTTTTTGTTTATAGATATATAAAATGTGGATTATATTGCAATTTGAGATTAAAATTACTTCGGTTGTGTAACAATTTAATTTTGCTTTTGTGTTATTGACATTAAATATATAAATCATAAAGGCAGGAAACTTTCATGTGCGTTAATGTGCATGCAATTCAGATTATAAAATATATGGCACAATGCTTTAATAATGTCAACTCTCCAGTAAGGTTTGAATCCTGCTGTGCTATTAACTGGCTAGTAAACTCAGACAAGTTACTTAACTTCTCTAAGCTCCAGTTTTCTTATTTATAAAATGAACATTATAATAGTACCTCTCTTTTAGGATTGTGAGGATTAGTAGGATAATGCATTTAAAGTGTTTAGCAGTGTCTCTCATAGAATAAGCAGTCTATAACTATTAGCTATTACTAGAATCACCTAGGATTATAGCACTTGAAGCGATCTTAGCAAAAATGTAGTTCTTTATGTTGCTTTGGACAGACATGAACCAAAACAAAATTATGAACAATTGATGAGTCTTATTAACTATTTCTCATTATGAGACAAAAGTTCTGATTATACCTACTGGCTGAAAATTTTTGATCTAGTTGAGAGGGAAAAATTGATGAAGGGAGGAATGGATATCTTCAGAAGGGCTTCGCATAAGGTGGAGCAATGGACATTCCATTCTAACAAAGAGTAAGTTCAAATAGAGATGAGTTGACTGATTTGGTAGTAGTTGCATGTAGAAATTCTCTTCTGATTGCTTTTGCTTTCTCAGCATTTGAGAATCAAAATCAACTACAAGTAAAGAGAGGATGGGGAAGATGTTGCGCATTTTAAGAGAGAAAGTGGAAAGAAGTCTAATTCTGAGAATGCACAGGTTTCACCAGATCAAATGATGTCTGGTTATTCTACAAATTATAGTTCTTATCCCAGAACTTATTGCCTCCACCATATTTAATATCCTTTTCTAATTGGTATCATGTAATGACCCACTCATGTTATCCAGTTGTGTGGCATTTAGTAATGGAAAGTACATGGAATATCCCCTGACTTACCTTTCTGTCCTTGGGAACCTTAAACTTTGAATCTCCTCATCTATAACATGTGAATTACCTAACCAAGTTGTGATTGTAGTGGAAAAGAGGCAATATATTTAAATCTTGAACTTAGCAAGCCCATGCTCAATTTTTATGTTCTTTCCTCTTGCTTTGTATTGAGTTTAAGATCTCTACTGATTAAAATCATTTTGCTATCAAGTTTCTGTTCTTGTATCTCACAATATATTTTCTGCTCTATCAGTGGTAATATTTTTTTACCTCATTTTTGGTGAAATTAAAGAATATTTTTTACCTCATTTTGGTGAAATTTTGGTTATGGAATTGTATATCATGGTAATATGTACCACCAAGAGATATACCACCCTTTGATTTTGAAAGTGAAGAGGTGGGGGAGGGGTATTGTTGAAGCATTTCTGGTAAAAAAAAAATGAAGGATAGCTAGTTTTAGTATTAAATTGAATTGAAAGAAATAAAATCATCTCACCAAAATAAATTTAACACTTCTAAATACAATAAGTACAGCAACTCAGACTTACGTATTTACTCAGAATCAACTTTTATTAATTAAGGATTTTTTTACTTTCTCAGCACCAGGAGAAACGTATGTTAGTTGTTTTTATGTCTTCTGAAAACCTCTCAGAACGTGTACTGAGGAAACAGTTTATAAGACAAATTAAAGTATTGTTGACTTCTGCCCCTTATAAAAACTGAAAATTTTTCTGCCAAAGCCTAGCTTCATGTATATTAGTGGACCTCCAAATTGTCCTTTCTACCATAGGCAATTAGGAAATGAGATAAAATACATGAAACAACTCTTTTCAGACATTGGACTACAGGGAATGCAGGGCTATGATTCCCAAGAGAGGGAAAAGAGGTGATGAGCTTTAGGATTTCCCCAGATTATTGCCTAGAGGCAGTTGCCAGCAGAGGAACCAAAATAAAGCCTAGTGGTCTCACTGCATGGAGAAACCAAAGATGACTGAGTTCAGAATGACTCCGGGAGCTGCAAAGAAAAAGCACCAGAGATCTGCAGAGTAGTCCTCCCTAGAGGTTTTTGTTGAGTATTAATTAGAATGGGGTAAAGAAAATGACTTGAGTAGTACATAGCAAAACCAAGGAATGAATGACTGGAAAGCAGTAAGCAGTTCCTGGGCCTTAAAGGGCCAAGAATAGTTTACATTCCCATCGCCAGAATGGAGAGCGCTTGTAATACATAGAACATAGGGTGGCATCCTCAAAATGGTTGTGCTTTAGTAGCAGGGCCAAATTAGTTTTAGAATAAAAGCTGCTATGGATTTACTCTAACATTTAAAAGCAAGCCTTAAAATGTTCCATTTGGTCTTCAAGTAACACTGTGTGCCAGAACAAAGTTTCTCACTTAGAAACAACAAAATCTAGCATTCAGCAATGTTGAATCTCCAAACAAAAATCACAATGTTGATCATCCAAACAAAAATTACCAGGTATGCAAAGAGACAGAAAATATGACACACAGCCAGGAGAAAAATGAATCAACCGAAACTGCCAGAGGTAATGCAATTAACAGGCAAACTTTCAAATACTTATTATAAATATCATACTCTAGAATAAAAAGGAAATCAGAAATAAATAGAAACAGAAGACATAAAAAAGATCCAAATAAAACTTCAAGAAATGAAAAATGCATATCAAAATTGAAAAATGTATGTGGAATGAGATTAAGATAAAATTAGATATAGCAGAAGAGAGGTTGGTGAATTCAAAAATAGCAGCAGAAACTGAAATAATGTACAGAGAAAACAAAACTGAAAACAATGAAAGGAATCTTTGAGCTATGTAAAAATATGAAATGTTAGTGTGCAATTGGAGGCTGAGAAGGAGAGAAGAAAGAGAACACGAAGTTATTGGCCAAAAATAATAACTAATTTTCTCTAAATGTGATGAAAAACAAACTCACAAAAGCTAAAGTAACCTGAAGCAAAAAAAAAAAAAAATCAAGTTGTAGAAAACTAGTGACAAAAAGAAAAATCTTAACAGTAGCCAGAGACAAAACGTAAGAATGAAGATTGATTTCCTGTCAAAAACTATGCAATCTGGAAAACGATTGAGTTATATGTTATTGTAGGTTTGCTAACTTGGCTGGAAGTTGATGTCAGCTTCTTAGGACTACTCCTAGTTTTGTCTTAGATCATGTTACCCACAATACTGAGACAAATACTTGTGTTTATGAGGTTTACTTGGGAGCAACATTTGTAAGAAAGTGATGGAAGTAGGATGGGGCAAAAGAAAAAAATAACCACAATGCAGTCATGATAAAGGCCTCAGCTGATCCCCCTGGATCTGTGATGACTTTTCTGAATTGTCCCAAATTAAGAGATGGGGCTGGGTCTTTTATCTTTATATAAACCAGTCGATGAATATGGACTGATCCTGGGGAAGAGTCGTAACCTTGGTAAGGTAGGTCCCTTTAGCCAAGCATAGTTCCTAAAGAGGAATGTAGCCAATATTCCTGATGGCTGGGAGAATAAATGACTCAACACTGAAAGGATCTGTGCAGAACATCCCACATTCACTACAAGGGATCCCTAGCATTAAAACTGAAAAAAATAAAATTTAATTTAAAAAGGGTTTGTGTTAACGTGTAAGAGACAGACAGACAGAAGGAATGAGAACAATGGTTTTGGTTATCTTAAAATTTAGTATTTATTCTTATTTAAAAACATATATATTATAGATGAATTGGAAGTTAAATCACTTATATCCTATCATCCAGATACAACCCTATGAAAATCTTCGAATATTCTATCTCCAGAACTTTACATCTCTTAACTACTCAAGAGAAAGTACCTTTTTGTCTTCTAAAGCTTATATGATTAGCTAGGGTTAAATATTTGCGATAACTTTTCTTGAAAATTCATAACACTAAAAATACAGTGATAAAACACCTGCCATTTTTGTTGATTGCATACAATGTCTCAGACTTTTGTATTCATGTGTTTTCATTAGCTTTCTGATTTATAACTCAGAAATTCCAAAGAGTGTCTTCGTCTTTAAATCTGAGCAGTCACAATCTGTCTTCTGATTCCTCAGCAATCTGATTTCTCAGGCAGCACCTTAGGCCCAAGCAAATAATCTGAATCTCTTTCTCTTCTCCAACTTAATTGATCTTCCCGTGCCCCATCCACACAGATTTATGTTCTACCTTTTACTGGATTGAAATGCTACTAAACATTACTTGTTCATTAAACTGAAAATTAAATTTTAACATCAACCATAAATTGGAAGAATTACATGAATGATAAATTACTCACATATTGGTTAAAATTTAACTTTTGGAATCAGTGTTGGATAATTCCTCAAATAATTATGCATTTTTTTTAAGTGACTCGCAGGCGGCAGTGCCATCTGCAGGCCTCCTCTGATGTAGCTCTTTTTATTTGTGGAAATCTCTGAAAAGGGACTTGGCTCTCCTAACTATGGCTTTATAACGTCAAATACAAAGTGATGTTAACCACGAATTTTAAAAGGGTGAATTTACAGGTACAAATCTCTGATAGAAATTTTTTAAACACTAAGCTAATATTGACTGTCTATATTTATAATCAAAATCTCAAACACAATGTACAGCATCTGGAATATATATAGAATAGGTATGAATTTTGGGATCACACAGAACAGTGTTCTTCAGGTTCTATTACTTTCCAGCTGTGTAAAACCTTTAAAATGTCACTTAAACTTACTGAGATACAGGTTTTTTATTTATAATATGGGGGTAATATTTTCTTCAT